AGAGCCAAAATCAGATTGTCCTAACCCTAAAATATATACAATATACACACACACACATATATATATATACGCAGATATATATATATATATACATACACCGATATACCTGTCGGATGAGAAGGAAAGAGACACACAGAGAGTCGGGGCTCCAACACAGAGACAGTCGGGAAATTTACCTCTTAATCGTCCTTCGTCGGATGAGAGGGAAAGAAAGACAGAGAGATTCGCGAGTGAAGGGAACGAGTTGTCGGTGTCGGAATGAAGGAAAGGAGTGGTCGCCGGTGGCGGAGTGGGGGTCAGTTGCCGTCTCGCCGTCGGAGTCAAGGGAATGAGGAAAAGGCAACCACCATTGTGAAGATAGATATGTGTTTGAGGGGAAGATTATTTTGAAATATGAAGCGTGGGTCTAATATACATGTGAATATCACGTGACTTGCCACATTAACTGGGGGTCACTGGAGGTCATTTGAACTGGGGGTCAGAGGCATTTTTGTTTGGGGAAATTACAATGCAATCTATTTTTTTTATTTATAATAATTATAGATAGATATATATAATTATGTTTTTATAAATATTAGTGATTTTAGATTTTCTCACTTATTTTTTAGTTAAAGTAATGATGATTGGCTGATGATTAAAAAAGATATGAGAAAGTATTGTCTTAAATATTCTACTTGTTGATCACTGCTATTTCTATTTGGAACTCTAGCAATATTGCGGGACGATCATTATCTAAAAAGGAAATTCATATGCATTTACGTGACTACGTAATGCTTTAAAGTCATTAGAGGTTGCTGATGTTGTCATTTTTTTTGCTCTTTTGAGTAAATTAATAAATAATTGGAAGAAAATAAAAAAGAATTCAAATTTATCCTTTTGAACTTGAGAATTAAATACTTAGGTGATTTAGAAAACCCTTAAATGAGGTGTTTAAATTAAAAAGTGAATCTAACTTTTGAGAGAGAAACGAAAATTAAAATAAATTTAAATTACATAGAAAAGATAAATAAATGATTTAGAAAGAAAAAAAAACAATGAAAGAAACTATAAATGAATCCCTTTGGTCTATAATCTCAACTGAAGGATCCTATTTGAGCCCATGAGGTTTACTGTACCATAAATTTTGCTTTGATTATCTAAATTGTTTATTTTTTTTGATAAATAAAATAAATTATAATTATTAGATAGATTAAATTTTTTCATAAATAAAATATATAAAATATCCGATAAAATAAAAAATATCCGATAAATTAAACGATTCTAATTATTGAAATGAGACTCATTATGAGCTCCAGAAGCCCAAAGACTGCCTCTCCAGTTCAACTTTGTGACCTAGAGGGAATCCACCTCTTTTTTCTTGTACATATTCAAGATGTAAGATATAGATTTTTTTTGTTTTTTGTTTTTAAGATCAAACAATAAATGAAGTATTTTTTTCATATATTCAAGATATATATATATATATATATATTTACTTTTTTGTTTTTAAGATCAAACAATAAATGAAGTATTTTTTTCACATATATATATATATATTTACAATAAAATGAGAGAGGAAAATAAGAGAAAATTAAAATTTTCAATTACTTCAACATTTCTTTCTTTCTTTCTAAACCAAACATAATGTAAAACATAATTAAAGGGTTTTATCTCCAAAACTAAAGGAGATATACACTTTAACCTTGGGTTAAATTTTTAAGTATTTTTTTTATATAAAAAAGATAGAATAATTTTAGTAAAAAATTAAGATTTTTTTTGGTGAACAATCAATTTACATGTAATTAATTTTTAAAATGAAATAAGTTATTTTCATTTAATTTATCAAACTTTTATTACTTTCATTTAATTAGTTGTTAAAAAACCTAATTTAATTGAAAAAATATCATTTTAAAATTTGAGTAACTTAAAGTCATATAAAAAAATATTTTTTTTATGAAAAAGACTGTGTATCAAATGCACCTTATAACTATAAAAGAAAATGCTATAATTTTATATTTTTTTATTCATAACTAATAAAAAAAGTGATAACTAAGTAAAAAAAAGTCATAATCAAATATCGCAAAATAATGTCATAATTAAAGTTGAAAATAAGTCATAACTAAAAAAAAATGACATAACTAAGAGCACGTATGATATAGTGTGTATAATAAAATTCTCTTTTTTTTATTCATTAAATGAATAAAATAAGAGAAAATTAGTGATAAATCCAATCTAAGAAGGATATAAGGTATTAGGTCTAGTGGATATTTTTTGTTGATGAGAGATCCACACTTTGTGAAATAATTTTGTGAGAAATTCTAGAAGACATTTTGTTTTCAAATTTTATCCCATGACTTTTTTTTTTTTTTTTTTTCCTGGAAAGCGCTATGGACTCCAAATGAATTACCAAATATTCTATCAAACCTCTCACATGGGTGTGAGACCCACACACATGTGATTTGTGTAGGTCTCATACCCATGTGAGAGGTTTGATAGAATATTTGATAATTCATTTGGGATCCTTAGCATAACTCCTTTTTTTTTTATTTATTTATTTATTTTTTTAATTTGTTTGACTTTTATTTGACTATCTTTTTAAGTTTATATATATCAAAAATTTTGATTATCTGTCTAATTTTTTTTCCATCTGTACAATTTTTTCTCCTAAATTCTATTTATCTATTCATTTTTTCCCCTTAATTCTATTTATTTGTTCAATTTTATATCTATCTGTTCAAATTATTTGACTATCTATATAACTTTTTCCCTATTTGTTCAATTTTTTCCATAAATTCTATCTATCTATTCAATTTTTTCCTTAAATTCTATCTATCTGTTCAATTTTTTTCTTATATGTTAAAAATCTATGTCATAACTTTTTTGTTTATTTGTTACAACTATCATCATCAACATCAACAACTATAAATCATCCTACAGAGTCTCTCTCTCACTTATTCATCTTCTCTTCTCTTCTATTCTCTCTCTATCTGTTCCTTTCTGTTAGGGTTTTCACAAAGATCTGCATTTGTTCAATACAAGAATAAAAATAATTAATAATAGGTATGTTATATGAATTCACTATATATACCAAACAACTAAATTAAACTATAAAAAAATAAAAAAGTAGATTAAGAACAAGTAGATCCAAACCCTAGAAAGTAAAAAAAGTATTTAGAAAGAAATCGAAGTAGATTCAAATTCACATCAAAGGTTTAGTCATCAATTGTTAATAAATCTATCATTCACTTATCAGTTGCATCAAATCTTAAATAAGACCAAAATAAACAACCTTGATTGTCAGTAAATGATAGCATAACACACAACATCATCTAATGGTAAATAATATATATCATAAATGCACAGAAATCTGAGCGTCGATTCACATATGAAACACAAGTGTGTAAATATAACAAATACGTATACATATGTATATATTTGCACAGAGAGAGAGAAAAAGATGAGATATTTAAACCTGATGGCGATTCTGCGAAGAGCCTTACTCTTGTGAACCATAATACTGCGAGTAGAGGGAGGGCGTGAGATCTGAGAAAACTAAGAGGTGGTGTAGTCGCTCGATTTGCAGATCTGAGTCGCCGTGGTACCGTTCGATAGCCATGGATCAACGATGGGGATTGTGATGACGATGATGATGGACAGATGCATTCCAAAGAAAAGAGGATGTTGTGGTGGTGGTAGCGGTGGCGCGACAGTGTTCCCATTGGAGATCGAAGATAAGAAATGAAGAATAGAGAGAAGAGAAAAGAGAAAGAGAGAGTGGCGGCGAGGTCGGAGATGAGAGAGAAAGTGTGGTGGAGAGAGAAGGTTGAGGTTTGGTGGTCGTCATTGGCTGTGGTTACGGTGGCGGATAAAACCTTAGTCTGGAGATGGAAGATCAGAGAAAGAGAGGGTGTTAGGTTTGGTTTTAGCTCAGTAGCATGTATACGTGGGTATTGTAATCATTTTGTGAGTGCGTATCCTTTTAGACAAGAGCAAGGATCCTTTAGAGTGATTTTTTTCTAAAGTTTTCTAGAGTACTACATTGTGTGGTTGAGATTTACTGGCAAGTCACATCAATTTTTCTGACGTGACTTGCCAGTAAATCTCAACCACACAATATAACACTTTAGGAAATTTTAGGAAAATTTCACTCTAGAGGATCCTTAGTGTTTAGACAAAGTATTTTAATACTAAGATCTTCGGATAAACAAAATCTAAAAATGGGTTTATCACCCAAGTGCCCATAAAATAATGATTATGATTTGAGTTATTTCTTTTTGCCCATTAAGTTGAGTTTTTCTCATTACTAGTTTAGACAAACTATCTTCAATTGAATCACACATACAGATTGAAATTATAAGAACTAAAAAGATAAATAAATAACAACAAAGTGAAATTAATTCAAACAAAATTAAACATGGAGGGCATTTTTGATATTCAAGTCTGATGGTAATTTCGATAATTAAGAGAAATCCCCTCACCACCAACCTCGAGTATAGTATGGGTATAGGGTTGTAGAATGGCTCGCGGTTCGAGATGGGCCCGACCTGATTAAACTCGTTTAGGTGTAAGCCCGAGCCTAGCCTAAGACTTTAGACTTGGGCTTGAGCCTTCATTTTGAAGCCATGCTCAGCTTGTGGGCCTAATCCATCTGGCCTGCCCCAATCGGTCCAATTAAGTCACACTCAAAACCCCACCCGCCCAACCCACCTGAGGTCCACTATTATTTCTTGTGAAAAAAAATAAAATTTTAATAAAAAAATTAAACAAATTATATATTTTTAAGTCTACCGATTCGCTTAAGGCCCAACTACCCCTAGGCTTAAATCTAACTTAATTTTCTTATTCATGAACCGACCCAATCTAGCCTAAATTTTGATAACAACTCACATGCCAGGCCTGGGTGGACGGGAGCCGGGCCAAATTTACATCCTTATTCGACAGGAGTAGTTGGGCTGAGCATCCGAGTGTGTTAAAGGGAGAGAGCAAGAGAGACAGAGAGTTAGGGTTTGATTCGCAGAGAGAGAGAGAGAGTGATTAGCAAAGATCACCGGCACAGAGGATGCCTTGCCTGAACCTGTCCACTAACGTGAGCCTGGAGGGTATCGACACCTCCTCCATCCTCAAGGAGGCCACCTCCATCGTCTCCAAGCTCATCGGCAAACCTGAAGCCGTACATTGATAATCTCGCTCGCTCTCTCTCTCTCTCTCTATATATATATATATATATATATATCTTTTTAGATCTCTGTAAATCTGTGAAAATTTGAATTTTGCGATGTTAATAGATCCTGTTTTAATCGGATTTGTGCATGTTTCATCTATGATAAAAATTGCCACAAGTCACACAGTTTATAGGCTACGAATATTTACTTGTAGGATCAGTCTTCGAAGATCGATCACTAATTCATGGTGCTATGGGTCCTAAAATCCATGGAGATTACAGGATATTAGGCTTTCGGTCAATGCATTTCATCAATTTTGGCGAAAAAATTGTTTTTGCTTTGATTTGATGAAAATTTTGGTAAAAACTTGTCAAACTTGTATCAAATCAAGTTTTTTTCATCAGATATAAGCTTGATTTGATATGGGGTGCTCCGATGGCTTTTCATCAAATTTAACTAAAATTCTTGATTTGGTGAAAAAATTGAATGCTCCAATCCTCACTTGCAAAAATTTATCAAAACCTTTTTAAAAATTCTAAGCTTATCCCCAATAGCTTATTTTTATCAAATTTGGGGAAAAATTTGTTTTTGCCTTGATTTGTTGAAAAACTTGGTAAAAAAAAAAAAAAAAAAAAAAAAAAAAAAAACTTGATTTGATACAAGTTTGATGAAAGTGATTGGAAGTCATTTTCACCAAATTTTCCGTCAAATATAAATTTGATACAACATTTGTTGAAAGATTAGAGATGCTTTTACGTTTCAATTACTAAATAGTTTGCTGAAATGGTTCTTTGGTAATGGCAGTGCACCTTATTCTGTTAATTCACTTTAGCTGTGCTTATATTGTGGAGTTTTAGATTATTGTCTTTGTCATCCTCTTGAGCTTGATTGCATTATTTCCCCTGCGTTAAAGGGGACAAAGCCTATTGCTCTACTACCATGGGATGAGCAGTTAATCATTTGGAACAGGATTTAACTGAAAATTGCGTTCCATTTTATTCAAATATCTGGTGTTGCATAAAAAAAAAAAAAAAATCCTTTCTTTTTGTGATTGTATAGCTTTAATTTCATTCAGCTGATAGTTATCCAATTTTTTTCTTGTTATTTCCTTTAACAAGTTAAAGGGGTATGCAATACTACTGCTAGTTTCAAAAGGCATGTTTTTTGAGAACCGTCAACAACTTTGTGTTTTGTAATTTGCAGTATGTGATGATTGGGTTGAAGGATTCAGTACCCATTGCTTTCGGTGGGACTGAGGAACCTGCAGCCTATGGAGAATTGGTGTCCATTGGTGGCCTTACGCCAGATGTGAACAAGAATCTTAGTGCTGAGATTTCCACGATACTTGAAACCAAGTTGTCTGTTCCCAAGTCACGATTCTTCCTGAAATTCTACGACACCAAGGCAAGCTATATAAACCTCCTAAGTTATCTTTGGAAAATGAGTCATTGCCATGCACTCGTGTATTCATATTGCGTTCTTCGTGCTTGTTTAGGCCCATCAAAGACTAGAATATGCATGCATGCTTTAGACTAGTAGTAGATAACGTAAATAAACCCCTACTGTTTAGAACCATGAACAAAGCTTTTCATGCAATTTCATACAATTTTCCATGGTGTTCATGCCTTTATTTATTGTGCAGGGCACCAACTTCGGATGGAATGGATCCACCTTGTAAATTCTATGCTACTTCTGGTGTGTTATCTAGACTCTGTCATGAACTGGATGCTATGTATTGTAGCAAGTCTATATTTCTCCTGTAACTTGGGATGATTACTTCTAGGGGTGTGCGCGGTGCGGGTCGGTGCGGTTTGAGAGAAAAATAGAAACCGTATAGCGGATGGCAGATTGATAAAAGTGTCACTAGAATTTGCCATTTTCCTTATCAAAAACCGACGGTTTGGTTGGCAAATCATGGCGGATTTGCCTTGGCGGTACGGGCGGATTGGCGGTTTATAAAAAATATAATTCAAATTACAAAACTTAAATCAAAGAGTAAAAAAAAGACGAGAGATACCGTGATGTTAAGCATCTTGCAAAACTTTTTTCTGATGCAGTAAGTGTAGCAACAACATGATAATATCAACGACTATGCCATCAGTTCATTACAAGCATCTGTGGAAGCTACAATGATCAAATACAATACATAAAATTCCCCTCGAGCAGTAATGTAATACTATATTCTAAGGTATAGAACAACAAGCAAACTTAAGTAAAAAAGAATTTTTAGAATCTTATAAAACATGATTTAATAGTGGTGCGGGTCGGTGCGGTTTAGAAGAAAAATAGAAACCGGCGGATTGATAAAAGTGTCACTAGAATTTGCCATTTTTCTTATCAAAAATTGGCGTTTCGATTGACAAATAATAACGAATTTGTCTTGGCGGTGCGGTTCGGTGCTATTTTGACAGTTTCGGCGGTTTCGGTGGTATTATGCACACCCCTAATTACTTCTATGGTTGTTTTGGGAAGGATGGTATCGTATTTCCTGTTATCATGTTCCAGATTATGTTGCCTATTTGTGCATCCTTTTTCATAGATTTATAGCGGTGCTGCGTATCTTTAAAAATCTTGAGAAAAATTTTATAGCCTCACACTTCTGCATATGGTTGAAGTTTTGCATTGGTCAATGTGATTAGTTCTTGGTTAGGAGCAATCCCTCCTTTAATGTTTCAACCTTTCTCCGTCTTTTAAATAAGAACTTTGAGAAAGATTATGATACACACTGTTTAAGAGCATTAGTTGATAAAATATTTAAAAATTTTATATTCTTCAACGACTGTTTTTTTTTTTGGTTGTCTTTTAAAAAAATTAGTCAACTATAGCATTTGCCATTACTATAAATTGGCAATGAATTAGTAGTAAATTGTCAAATTATAGTAACGGTGCTCCAATAGTCACATGTTACTTTGACAAATTTTAACCAACTTCTTCTTCAATTTTGTAGGTGTTATTGGTGTTATTTAAATATAGGTTTTCAGTAATTTTTTTATTGTTTATTTTTTGTTTTTTGTGACTTTTTTCAAACTTTTTTTTTTTTAAAAATTAAATATTTACATTGTACCTAACTAGACAAATATAAAAAAAAGATTAAAAATTGAAAATATTGAATTTTTTATTTTTTATTTTTTATTCTTTTTTTATATATAATTCACTTCACCAAAAAAACATACAACTACAAAATTAAAAAATTATTAACTATATTAAAAATTAAAATTACATGGACTACTACATTACATTGTAAAATAAAAATTATATTTAAAAAGAAATAATAAAAATTAAGGTAAATTATAAATACACTTTCTGAGGTTTGCTTAAAGTACAGATTATCTCTTGTGATTTGAAAAATTATAAATATCCCATTTGTTAGAATTTTTTATTTAACAAAATTAATTAAAAAAATAAAATTCATAATTGCTCTCTTATATGATAATAAAATTACCTAAATTATTAATTAAAATATATTTCTAATATCATTAAAAACTGTTAATTGACTTGATAATTTATTAATAAAAAGGACGATTTGTTATGAAATTAGAAACTCATGGAGTGAAATGTAGTTTCCAGAACCACAGAGGGCGATTCGTATTTAAATCAAATCTCAGGGGTGTATGTGTAATTTATCCTAAAAATTACATTGACAAATAAATAATATTACAAAATTAAAAAATACACATTCTCCTGTAATTATTTATCAAGAGGCAGAGGAAAATAGTAATTTGGATTGCTGATATGTGCGGATTGCTTTGCGAAAATCTTATTTTTACGCATTATGTAATATGTTTTCTTCTGAGGGTGTAAATGAGAAATGTCCGTAGTCATTATCAAATGTTCTTCATTTTTTATCTCAAGTTCTTTCATCTTTTGCAAATGTTTTTCCTTTTCTATCTCAAGTTCTTCTATCTCCTGCAATGTGCTTAAGTCTTTTTTTTCTTCTCTTTTAGTTTTTTTTTTTCATTTCTTTTTTAGCGAGGAGTTGGTTAAATATCTCTAACAAATTGTTAAATTTGTGGACTTTAGTTTTAACAGCTTGTCTTTTCTGAAGCAATTCTTTTGCAAATTTCCTATTCATAAGCTTTTTACTCCTTGACTTTTCTTTTTGTTTTTGATGAACCTTTCATATTGATTATATGAAAGAACTGCAAAAAAAAAAAAAAAAATGTAATTTGGAAGGTTTGTCATGAAATGAAATTGAGGAAAAGAGAGGAAAAAAAGAAAAATATAATTTCTGAGGCGTGGTGTGAAATGAAATTAAGATTGAGAGTTTGTATTTATAGAATTACAAAATATGACTTTTTTTTTTCTTCTAAATATGACTATGGAGAATTTTAAAAAATATTGCTTTTGTTTTACAAATTTTTTAATTTTTTTTAATGAACAAAATTGCCAATTGTTGGTGATCTCAGCCGTTGATTAATGAACAAGATCTCGGCCGTTGATTAAATAACAATCTAACGGTTGATATAAGAGCTCTAGAATGATCCGCGCTTATCTCAAGAGAAAAGTCCTTTCTCTCTTCTCTCATCAAACCAATTGGTTTAGATGAGAGCATCTCTCTTTCTCTTTGGTGTACCATCTTTATCCATTGCAGCCACGATCTCCCCCTTTCTCACATTCTTCATCAGAAACCCCTTTTTTCTATTTTCATTTTGATCATCACCACTACCAAACGTGATCGCCAAAACCAGTCTTCTCTGTGTGTGTGTGTGTGTGTGTCTCTCTCTCTCTCTTTGTGATTTGCATCACCACCACCAGCGTTGATCACCAATCTTCGAGTTCAATGAAACTCCAGTGTTTAACCGAGCACCACTGTTTAGACTTTGATGGAGCTCGATTGATCTGGGAATGAGCCCTAGAAGTCGATGAAGAAGAAGCCCTAGAGGTTGATGGAGGTTGAGATAAACAACAAGTTCATCAATCATGGTATAATCCAGGTATTTATCTTCTAAATTTGTTTATGAAATTTACATAAATTTGTGAAATTTGGGTTCATATATTCTTGACTAAAATTTGGGTTTGATTTGTTTTAAATTGATTATGAAATTTGTGATTTGTTTAAATTGATTTTGCTATTTGTGAAATTTGTGGAACTAGTTCTTGAATGATCATTATAAAATTGAATTTTGTTTGTGGAACTAGAATTTGTGATTTTGTTTGTTTATGAAATTTGTGGAATTGAAATTTGTGATTCTGTTGGTTTATAAAATTTGTGAAACTAGTTAATGAAATCGAATTTGGAAGGTTTTTCTAATGAATGAATTCTGTTTTTTCAACTGAATTTGGAGTAAAAAATCTGTTGATATTTGATGATGGGACATGTTTGGCACCTGTTATTCATCCTACCAAACTTGAGAGCATAAATGACATCTGTTATCTTTGATATTTGATGATGTGACAGGTTTGACACCTGTTATTCAACCTACCAAACTTGAGAGCATAAATGACATCTGTTATCTTTGGCAAGAAAAATAGTAAGTCATTAGAGACCTTTTTTTTTTAATTTTTTTTTTTATCACTCTTGTCTTATACTTTGACAGCTTCATTGGAGATGCTCTAAGTTGACATTTTCTTGTTAAAACAGGAAAATTCTATTTTCACACATATATTTATCTCAAGGCATATCATTTCTCAATGCACATACTTATTAATTTGATTATTAATTATTTTTTTCAATCCACACACTAAATATTTCAATTATACCCTTCAATCATGCAGATGTACACACACCACCTCAAACCTTTCTGGATTTCCAAACCTTCTACACTGTTTCACAAATAATAGTGTTGATGATGAGTGAATTAGATATGCCTGCAATCTACCAATCTATAGGAAGTAAGTTAACTGTTGCTTTTTCCTTGAACTTCCTTCTCCATACAAATCATTCCATTGCTTCAATTCACTCATTATACATCCCTCGGCAGCAAAACTTGCAACAACCTGCAGCAAAACTTGGGTTGGCTTGGACTCTAGTGAGCAATTGGTTACCAAACAGAGTTCTTCGTTACTCTCCTCTTCTGCGTTGGTGGCAGAGGCTCGTGCTTGCTAGAGTGCTGTGAGATGGTGTTTCCTCAGTGGCGTGAAATCCATTACGGTGCTTACTGACAGTCAAAACTTAGTCTGGTAGCTCAATGGTTTTCACAGAGCTAGTTGGGATATTGTTGACATTGTTGATGATATTAAAAGTATGTCTAGGTGTTTTGATTTTCTTAGTATTGTTAAGGTACCACGTTTGTTTGTTACTGCTGCCCATTTGGAAGCAAAGGCAGTAGTCTTATAGTGTAATCCTAACTGTGTAACTTTTTATTTTTGTTTAATATATTGCTATTAAGTTCCTCAAATATATATATATATATATATAAACATATTTATGGAAAATATTGGATTCAAAGATCTCAACTCTTTGCCATAGTTCACAGATCTATTAACTTAGATTTAAGTTATGTCCTTTCGTAAAGACAATTCAGTGAGGAGCCAATTTTCCATCCAAAAAAAAAAAAGAAAATTATACTGTAATTTAGAGCTTCTCCATTGCATTAGAGGTGTACTAAAAAGGGGAAATCGAAAATCAAAATGAAAACGAACAAGTGAAGAAGAGCTAATAATACATGGAGATTGAGAGTATTACTTTACAAGCAAGTGAGAAACAATGGAACAAGTGAGGAACAAGTGATAAATTAGGGTTTTTCTTACTAAGAGGATGTGCATTGAGATTTTTTTGTTTTGAAAAAATGTGTATAGAGAAAATAAGAATATATTATTGAAGGTGTATTTTGATGCATATTATAGTCATTTTATTTTAAGGTATGATTGTCATTAAAATAAAATTTCATTAAGTGTGTGTACTGAGATAAGTAAGTATGTAGAAACAGAATTTCTCGTTAAAATATGCTTGAGCCTTATTCTTTAGGAGTTGGTGTTTTTTGGGTTTTTTGGGTGGTTTTTTTTATTATTTATTATTATTTTTAAATATATCAAATTTGTTTACTTTTTATATTCATATTGAGTAAAGAGAGTTAAAAACAATCAAAAAGTAAAAATTAATTCAAAAAGTAAAAAAAAGAGAGTTAAAAACAATCAAAAAGTAAAAATTAATTCAAAAAGTAAAAAAAAGAGAGTTAAAAACAATCAAAAAGTAAAAATTAATTCAAAAAGTAAAAAAAAGAGAGTTAAAAACAATCAAAAAGTAAAAATTAATTCAAAAAGTAAAAAAAAGAGAGTGAAATATTAGATAGTGTTTGGTAACGTTTACGTTTTTTATTTATATTTATAAAAATTTTATAAATTAGTTTTTGTTCATTTTTAGAAAAACATAAATTATAAATGTATTTGGTTTAAACAAAATGTTTAAAAAAATTTAAAAATATAAATTAAAAAATATGTTTGTTCAGGCCTAAAATATTTATATGTTTTTTTTATTATTTATGACAATTCAATCATAAACATTATAATTGAAAAAAAAATTAATTCGAAAAAAAATTAATTGAAAAAAAATATTTTAAAAAAAAATTAATTGAAAAAAAATGAAAAAAATTAATTAAAAAAATAATTGAAAAAAAAAATTAATTTGGAAAAAAATATTTGAAAAAAAATTAATTGAAAAAAATTTATTTGAAAAAAGATTAATTGAAAAAAAAATTAATTGAAGAAAAAAATTATTTGAAAAAAAAATTTGAAAATAAATTATTTGAAAAAAAATTAATTGAAAAAAAAATTAAAAACTGAAAACGTAAACTCAGTTTTTGAGTTTACATTTTTTTCTCAAATTTATAAACTGGGACAACTATTTATAAACTAAAAAATTATCAAACAAGTTTTTATAACAGTTTTTAAAATTTTTGTAAATATAAACTAAAAACTGAAAACGGAATGGTTACCAAATAGGCCCTTAGTGTTGAGTCTGGATCCTCTGCCGTGGTTCCCTGCGGTGTTCCCTACTATGCTCCAAAACGATTTGGAGCATTTATTTATTTATTTTTATTTCCCTCCTGTGTTCCTTCTTCTTCTTCTTCTCTTTCTAACCTCTCTATCAGCTTTTTGACTTGAACCAATATCCAAAACCAAATTCGAAACAGACTCAAACGAAGAACAAGAAGAAGTGCATACAACTGAAGCTCACATCCTTCATCGACAAAGCATTAGCTCTCAACTCACGGATTCGATGGCGATGAAGAGAGCAGTTTGAAGGACGAAGCGGAGGGCGATGATGATTATGTGTTTTGTGGATTTTTTTGGGGATTTCTTTTTACCTTGATTTTGGTAACAAATGATAACAAATATTTGTTTTGAAATTTGGGTTGTAAAATGTATTGTAAGTGTTTGTAAAAATGTTTCATTGAATATAGTTGGTATGAATTTTGGGTTGTATGATGTACTTACTTTAAAATCTGGGTTTGTAAGATGCACTCCAAGTGCTTGTAAAAATGTAGTTTAAAATCTGGGTTTGTAAGATGCACTCCAAGTGCTTGTAAAAATGTTTGATTGAATGTAGTTTAACTTTGGTTAACAAGTTCCTCACCCCCTCTTGTTTATTTTCTTCATGTACAAGTGTGGATTTTTTTTTATTGCTATATTGTTGACAGTTGCAGTGCAAGTGCTGATGATGATGGTGCTAGCAATGAAGATGTAATTAACTCTAATAGTTGATAAAATTGGTGTTCTTGTTATTCTTCTGGGACTTGGGAGGTGTAGGGAGGGGAAGCATGATAGGAAGTGTACGGGGAGCAAATATTCCGGCAAGCTCGTACTCCTTTCTTCCAAGCTCCTCATTGTCCGATCGACCTGCGAGCACAATGGCGGTGAGCTACCCGGTGGTGTGTGGCCGGAAAAACCCTCCGACGATCAAGTTAGACACATACAGGGATAGAGAGAGAGAGAGAGAGGATTGAGTGTTTAGTGTAAATCTCACCAAATGTTCATCTGCCCAGGCATGAGGAGTGCAGACTCGCTTATATACCTTCTGCGCCCCAAATTTACTCCCATTAGTCTCTCGACACGTGGTGCTGCTATCCCATCTGTCAGTACAAATCCAGCAATCACCACCTAACCAAACTATTAAGATACCTCGGCGGAGCTCGGCAGATCGGTGGAACCTCCTCGGTTTCTCCTGACCGCGCTGCGCGGCATACCTTAATGAACCACTCGCTGAGCTCCTGTACAACCGAACTCGGCTACATTCCGACAAGCTGAGCTCGAGATAGGTCGAGCCGAACTCCCAGTAGACCGCCTTCCGCACCAACAAGCCAAGTAGCTCGGTCCCACATGCCCTGTGCCTTAACCAAGCAAAAACCCTTCCGGACAGGCCCAAGCTACCACGGCCCAATTGTGTTCGGCCCATAATTTGCCCGGCCATTACCACGGCCCACTTCAGCTCATAAATCTCCCTCTCAATTGCCCATTAATTCCGTCCGTACAAGCGTGACTGGGATTACATGATCTGACCAGGGTAGACTCTTCATCGGTCCTTAGTTTGCAAGACATCAACCGCGTTATTCCTCTTGCTTGGTTTCTTGGCTTGTTTGGCTGAAGCCTCAACTTGCCTTCTTGGCGGGCAAAATCAGCTCGGCAAGGAACTACAAAGAAGGCGAGTAAGGTCCGCTCCTCGACTTCCTTCTCAGCGAGCAAGATCAGCTTGGCAAGGAACTCCAAGGAAGGCGAGCAAGGTCCACTCCGCGACTTCCTTCTTGGCGAGCAAGATCAGCTCAGCAAGGAACTCCAAGGAAGGCGAGCAAGGTCCGCTCCGTGACTTCCTTCTTGGCGAGCAACATCAGCTTGGCAAGGAACTACAAAGAGGTCGAGCAAGGTCCGCTCCGCAACTTCCTTCTTGGCGAGCAAGACCAGCTCGACAAGGAACTCCAAGGAAGGCGAGCAAGGTTCGCTCCGCGACTTCCTTCTTGGCGAGCAACATCAGCTCGGCAAGAAACTACAAAGAAGGCGAGCAAGGTCCGCTCCGCAACTTCCTTCTTGGCGAGCAACATCAGCTCGGCAAGGAACTACAAAGAAGGCTAGCAAGGTCCGCTCTGCAACTTCCTTCTTGGCGAGCAAGATCAGCTCAGCAAGGAACTCCAAAGAAGACGAGCAAGGTTCGCTCCGTGACTTCCTTCTTGGCGAGCAACATCAACTCGGCAAGGAACTACAAAGTAGGCGAGCAAGGTCCGCTCCGCAACTTCCTTCTTGGCGAGCAGCATCAGCTCGGCAAGGAACTACAAAGAAGGCGAGCAAGGTCCGCTCCGCGACTTCCTTCTTGGTGAGCAAGATCAGCTCGGCAAGGAACTCCAAGGAAGGCGAGCAAGGTCTGCTCCGCGACTTCCTTCTGGGCGAGTAAGATCAGCTCGGCAAGGAACTCTAAAGAAGGCGAGCAAAGTCCGCTCCGCGACTTCCTTCTTGGCGAGCAAGATCAGCTCGGCAAGGAACTCTGGTCTTTCCACCAAAATGATTGTCAATTGCCCCTTTTCCTCAGCCTTTCGACTGACGTCTTCCAAAACCAAACTCCCTAGATCTCTTCCACGGTTGTTCGCACCGCCATCCTCTGAGCTTCTCGCTGGGATAAAACATCTCGGCTAGAACCTTGAGTTGAGCAAAACATCAACTCCTTTTGCTGGAGTAAACCATCTCGACTGAAACTTCAGAGTTGAGCAAAACATCAACTCATTTGGCCGGAGTAAATCATCTCGGCTGAAACTTCAGAGTTGAGCAAATCATCAACTCATTTGGCTGGAGTACATCATCTGGGTTGAAACTTCAAAGTCTCATTTGGCCGGAGTACATCATCTCGGCTGAAACTTCAGAGTTGAGCAAATCATCAACTTATTTGGCTGGAGTAAATCATCCCGGCTGAAATTTCAGAGTTGAGCAAATCATCAACTTATTTCGCCGGAGTACATCATCTCGGCTAAAACTTCAGAATTGAGCAAATCATCAACTCATTTGGCCGGAGTAAATCATCTCGGCTGAAACTTCAGAGTTGAGCAAATCGTCAACTCATTTGGCCGGAGTAAATCATCTCGGTTGAAACTTCAGAATTGAGCAAATCATCAACTCATTTGGCCGGAATAAATCATCTCGGCTGAATCAGAAAAGTTCTTCAGCAAAAGTAATTCACTTCTATTACATTGACAAAAAGAGTATCACATTCAGAAGTGTAGGGGAAACAAGTTCTTCCTCAAAAAATTACTTAAGAACGATAAGAATATAATAGTTTGAGGTTAGCTGCATTCCATGACCGGGGTATGCCTTTGCCATCCAAATCTTCTAAGTGGTATGCCCCCTTACCCGCCAGACTGGTTATCTTGTAAGGCCTTTTTCTTCGTTGCCACCGAGGTTGTCTTCGCGGTGGACGCCGCTGCATCATCCTTTACTCGGATGTGCTCATTGATGCGCTGCATTAGTTCCCCCATGGATGGCGGCTGGTTCATTGTAAGCGAGTCCCTCAGTCTATGTCCGACCGGGAGACCCCGCTTGTATTGGGTGATTGCCAGGTTGACTGGGCAATCCAATATCTTGTTGAAGGTTTCTCAATATCTGGAGTTGTATGCCTTCAGTGTGTCGCTCGGCTCCATCTTGACACTGAGAAGGTGCTCAACTTCCTTTGTCGTTTTGGTGTTGGTTTTGAAGCGCATCACAAAGGCTTCAGCCAACTACTGCCACCTTTCTATGTTCCCCTCCTGCAGCCTCTCAAATCATTTCAAGCCCAGTTCGCCCAAACTTGACGGGAATATAAGGCATATAAGAGTGTCATTCTGCCTATGTCCGGCCATGACCTGTCGGAAGTGGCTTACATGCATATAGGGATCAGGTTTTCCATCGTAGAGCATGAACTTAGGCTGGTGGAAGCCCGCGGGAAGCGGTGTTGTTTCTATCTCCACGGAGAAAGGGGTGGCGCTCAGCCTTGCCAAGTCTGTGTCTAGAAGGAGAGGCGCAGCTAGGTGAGGTGGAGGCATTCCGACCTCTTCACTAGCGTGAACCCCATAGGATAGCCGCTGGAACGCCGGCACCCTCTGAGCCTCCCGCCGGCGAGCCCGTTCCTTCAAGACTACCCGCAAATCCTCTGAATGAACGGAATAAGAATACCTCAACGTCGTCGCTGGACGTGAGGGTTGATAGGTGCTGTCTTACGCGCTGGACTTCTCTACGTGCGCGTCAGAATCTCCAACCTTGTAACTTTTGGTGATTGAGATGGACGGAGTACGCCGCTGGCTCTGACTGCATGAACGGCGGGGTTGGGTACACTCACTGTGGTCTCCTACTCCAGCTACACCCTTCCCTTTGACATGTCGCTTAAGATCCACCATCTCCGCCGCCATTCTCCGGATGACGGCGTCTTGATCCCTTAGCTTGTGTTCCAGTCGCCTGGCGTGCGATTCTCTCCGCTGCCGATGACCATCTGGACTCCGTGAATGTCCAAAGCTTTTTCTGCGCTTATCCCGCGCGTCTCTTGAATGTCCTCCTGGAGAAGTTTCCAGGTCCGCCATAGGAAGGATGGTAGGATGTCCTTCTCTCCGTCTGCCTGACTCCCGGGTAACTCCGTCGATGGTAGACAATGGAATCTCGTCGTTGTTCGCCATGGACGGCGATCAGATGAGCCTGGAAGACAAGGTTCCTATAGATGGCGCCAATTGTACGGGGAGCAAATATTCCGGCAAGCCTGTACTCCTTTCTTCCAAGCTCCTCCTTGTCCGATCGACCTGCGAGTACAACGGCGGTGAGCTACCCGGCGGTGTGTGACCGGAAAAACCCTCCGACGATCAAGTTAGACACGCACAGGGATAGAGAGAGAGAGAGAGAGAGAGGATTGAGTGTTTAGTGTAAATCTCACCAAATGTTCATCTGCCCAAGCATGAGGGGTGCAGACTCGCTTTTATACCTTCTGCGCCCCAAATTTACTCCAATTAGTCTCTCGACACGTGGTGCTGCTATCCCATCTGTCAGCACAAATCCAGCAATCACCACCTAACCAAACTGTTAAGATACCTCGGCGGAGCTCGGCAGATCGGTGGAACCTCCTCGGTTTCTCCTGACCGCGCTGCGCGGCATACCTTAATAAACCACTCGCTGAGCTCCTGTACAACCGAACTCGGCTGCATTCCGGCAAGCCAAGCTCGAGGTAGGTCGAGCCGGTTAGCCGTCGGTCTTTCTGCCGAGCTAACGCATGAACCGTGGAACCCATGGAGACAGGCAGACATCTTGGCCGAACTCCCAGTAGACCGGCGTCCGCACCAACAAGCCAAGTAGCTCGGTCCCACTTGCCCTGTGCCTTAACCAAGCAAAAACCCTTCCGGACAGGACCAAGCTACCACGGCCCAATTGTGTTCGGTCCATAATTTGCCCGGCCATTACCACGGCCCACTTCAGCTCATAAATCTCCCTCTCAGGAAGTTAAAGAAGTCAATTGAAATAATGCTTGGAATTATGACATTAATATGTCAATGATCATGTAACTGATAGAACCAAAGCTGATTCACCTACTACCATTTTCTGAAAACATGAGGACATCACAGGTTTTTTTTTAAAGATCAGTTCAATTAAGTTTTAAACATTGAGGACATCTCACCTTTGTCTTCTCTTTTATTTGTTATTTTTTCCCTAACAATGAAGTTTTTGGAATTTCAGTCACCCATCTCCTTCAATGCTAATTCCTGCTCTTTGTATAGTTGGTAACATTGTCACTGAAGATGACATGCAAACTCAGGTACTAGGCAATTGGAAACATGCTTATTTCTTGAGTTTTCTTACATATTGCCTTCCCACCCAGCAACACAGATAATTTAACCCCAACTTCTTATCAGTAGAGTACTACACAAAAATTAGAATACATAAGTCATCGTACATAAAGACTAATGGAAAAGTAAGGAAAAATTGAAAGATCACCAGAGTGGTAGAATTTACAAAAGAAAAATGGTGTTCTGGGATGCCTTCAGTTTCCACTAGTGAGGAACTTGTTAACCAAAATGAAACAATTATATTCAATCAAACATTTTTACAAACACTTGGAGTGCATCTTATAAACCCAGATTTCAACCTAAATGCTAATTACATTATACAACCCAAAATTCACACCAACTATATTCAATGAGACATTTTTACAAGAACTTGCAATACATCTTACAATCCATATTTCAAAAAAAATACTTATTATTATCTGTTACCAAAATCAAGGTAAAAAGAAATCCCCAAAAAAATTCACAAAATGCATAATCATCATCGCCCTTTGCCTGAGTTCTATGACACTCATATTGTTTTCTTGTATAAGGGAAAACAAATTGGAGAGAGTCGAATCGGTGAGTCGAAAGCTAAGGCTTTGTTGATGAAGAATGTAAGCTTCAAGTTGAATGCATTTCTTGTTCTTCGTCTGAGTCTGTTTTGAATTTGGTTTTGGATATTGGTTCAGGTCATAGAGAGTTCACAAATGTTTGAGACGGAGAAGAAGGGAAAATTTAAAAAAAAAAAGAAAAGAAAAGAAAAGAAAAGGAAAAAGTTCTAAAACAACGTCGTTTTAGAACATGGTAGAAGGCACCGCAAGAAACCACGACATGAGGATCCGGACTCCTTAGTGTTTGCTTGGTTTGAATTATCAGAAATTATTTTAAACAATTTTTTGTTTGTCTTTATTGAATTTTTTCATATATATATTTTGACTTTGGAGATACATCACGATTAGATGCATGAAAAGAAAAAAACTAAATATGAAAAAAAATAAAATAAAAAAAATTCAAATAAAAATGCACATAAATTTTTTATTCGAATTTTTACTTTTTTAGTAATTTTTTAATATTTTAGTTAATTTATTTTATATTTTAGATTTATGTAGATCTAAATTAGGTGTGATTAAAAAGTATAAAATTTTTTTGGACTAAAATATATATAAAAAATCACTAAATATAAAAGACAATTAATTTTAAAAAATAAAATGAAACTAAATTAATTATAGCCAAACCTCAAAAATTCAAATCTCAAAAATTCAAATAATCTTATGTGGCTGAATCTGATTGGTTTCATGAGATCCACCGACAAAATTTCGTCCAACGCAAAAACCGTCCCCTCGCAATTCCGACCTTTCCTCTCTCTACGCTAAATCCTCCCCCCATATCTCTCTCTCTCTCTCTCTGTCTCGAATCCCTCTCTCTCTATAGATTGAGATTCAAAGAAAACCTCCTCCCCAAATTCCTCTCTCCAAGCCAAGCCAAACCAATCTCCAAGCCAAGCCAAGCCAAGCCAAACCAAACCAAAGCAAACCGAACCAAAACCAGCAATGGCTTCGTCGTCACCAGCAGTCCTCCCAATCTCCAACCCCCAAACCACCACCACCACCTCCAGCTCCACCTCCACCTCCACCTCCACCTCCGTCCAATCCCAGCCACCAATCTCGAACCCCGCCTTCCGAGCATTCATCTCCCACATCTCTGACATAATCCGCAACGGCCTCTCCACGCGCCGCCCTTGGTCGGAACTAATCGACCGTTCCGCCCTCTCAAAGCCCCTCCCAATCTCCAACCCCCAAACCACCACCACCACCTCCACCTCCACCTCCGTCCAATCCCAGCCACCAATCTCGAACCCCGCCTTCCGAGCATTCATCTCCCACATCTCTGACATAGTCCGCAACGGCCTCTCCACGCGCCGCCCTTGGTCGGAACTAATCGACCGTTCCGCCCTCTCAAAGCCCGAATCAATCTCCGAAGCCACCTTCCGCATCCGCAAAAACTACTCCTACTTCCGCGTCAACTACTTCTGCTGCCTTGCCTCCGTCCTCGCCTTCTCTCTCCTCACCAACCCCTTCGCTCTCCTCCTCCTCCTCTCTCTCCTCACAGCCTGGCTCTTCCTCTACGTCTTCCGCCCCTCCGATCCCCCTCTCCTCATCTTCGGCCGTACCTTTACAGAACGGGAAACCCTAGGCATCCTCGTCTTATCAACCGTCCTCGTCATCTTCCTCACCAGCGTTGGATCTGTACTCATCTCTGCTCTCATGGTTGGATTGGCCATTATTTGTGGCCACGGTGCTCTTAGGGTTCCCGAAGATCTGTTTCTCGATGAGCAAGAACCTGTTGCTTCTGCTACTGGATTCCTTTCCTTCCTCGCCGGTGCCGGTTCCAATGCTGGAGCTTCTGCCACTCCCGCAGTTGCAGCACGCGGCTGAGGTTCACTTTCATGTCAGTACTTTGGCATCGAGGATGGTTTGGCTAAATTCGTAGTCCTCTCGATCCAATCATACGTTTTGGTAGACAAAATTATAATAATAATAATAATAATACAGGGATTGGAATAATTCAAATTGCTCTATGCTTGTAGTAGGTTGCATATATCTCAATTGTTCATTTTTTTGGTATGATGTGTTAATACTTAGTAGTTCCATCGATATTGAATTATTCATTATTTTTTCTCCTAAATTGCTCTGCTGAGATGGGTTGTCAATTGCTCAAATTTTGTACTGTATTATTTATTTCTTACATTTTATTTTTTTATTTTTTTTCTACATTAGGATATCCATTTTGCTCATAATTTTTTTTACATACCCATCAAATATTCTCAAGGTCTGGGTTGGGTATTGTTAGGGATAGCAATGGGGGCTTTGGGGTAGATATTAATTTTTCATCCCATTCCCCATCTCCCATCAATTATGGAGACTACCCTCCCCATCCCCTAAGAGCAACTCCAACATGCTGTAGTTAAAGTACAAAAATAATACTCCTTATTTTATCTAGTTGTTTTAGTTATTGTGTTTTCTAACCACACTCTTTATTTTAACTAATCATTCAAATTAACTTAACCAATTTTTAGAACAAAAAATACTAATTGCTGAGATTTTACTAGTGTAACTTTGCAATAATATTTCACTACAAGAATTTTCACTTTTGGGCGCTAAATTTTTAGTCGCCAAATGGTTTTAGCGACTAAATTATTTGGTTGCAAAAGTAGTCGCCAAAAAATTGTCGATAAAGTTAATTGACGACTAAAATTATTTTAGTTACCAAATGTATACAATTCCTGGCTAAAATTTTAGTCGCCAAAAGGTTGGACATTAAATTAAATCAGACCCTTTTCGGCAACCAAACTTTTAGTCACTTAAAGTCCGGCATTTTTAGCTACTAAAATTTTAGTCGGCAAAGAGTTCTTTTAGCTACTAAAAATTTAGTCCCCGAAAGTCCCACATCTTTGCCTACTAAATTTTTAGTCAGCAAAGAGTTCCTCTTTTGGCTACTAAATATTTGGTCGCCTAAAGTTTTACATTTTTTACTACTAAAATTTTAGTCGGCAAAAGTGTTTTTATCCTTTAGTTTTTTGTTTTTAGTTATGAAATATTTTAGTCGCCAAATGTTTGATTTTCTTTTGGCTACTAAACTTTTAGTCGCCAAATGTCCATTTTTTTATTTTTTATTTTATTTTTGCTACAAAACTTTTAGTCGTCAAATGTCTTTTCCCAATTTCTTTTTGTAGCTACTAATTGTTTAGTCGCCAAAAACATGATATTATGTTTTATTGAAAAATTATATTTTCTCCACAATCTATTTATATTCAATGCAACGTGTAATACGTATATAAACAAAATGATACATACTATCAATCATTCCATAATTTGCATCCATATACCAAAAATAAATAACTTTAAATGTCAAAGTTTATACAAATCAACTATTGTCCAAGCTAAAATAATCATTTCATACAAAATATATCATACGAAAATCAAAACCCTCCGTATACAAAAAATACATTTACTGCCAAGCGAAATTACCATTTGGCATGGTACAAATTACCATCGTAATTTGTACCACGACAAAAGGTGATGTATGTACCACGACAAAAGTTTTCTATAGACCATAACAAAACGTCTTATATGTACGCCGACAAATGATATATATGTACCATGCCAGAAGATGATATATGTACCACAACAGTCATTATATGTTGATTGCCAAAAGTTTTCTGTATCAGTAATAATGAATTACACAAAAGCTGAGGACAACAAAAGTATTATATTAGTTCTACACAAAAGTGAAAATTCTTCTCCATACACCAATATGGATTATCCACAAGTCCACGCAACAAAGCCGTCTACAAAGAAAAATAAAAACCGAAACATTAGAATTGGTTACAAAATATCAGTTCAGTCAGCCATATGGAACATGTTCTAGCATGGTACAAATTACCATCGTAATCTGTACCACGACAAAAGGTGATGTATGTACCACGACAAAAGTTTTCTATAGACCATAACAAAACGTCTTATATGTACGCCGACAAATGATATATATGTACCATGCCAGAAGATGATATATGTACCACGACAGTCATTATCTGTTGATTGCCAAAAATTTTCTGTATCAGTAATAATGAATTACAAAAAAGCTGAGGACGACAAAAGTATTATATTAGTTCTACACAAAAGTGAAAATTCTTCTCCATACACCAATATGGATTATCCACAAGTCCATGCAACAAAGCCGTCTACAAAGAAAAATAAAAATCGAAACATTAGAATTGGTTACAAAATATCAGTTCAGTCAGCCATATGGAACATGTTCTAACATGCATTTAAGGTAGAACAATCGAGAAATGTCTTCTTGAAAATAAAAGAAAGTATATATATATATATATATATATATCATGCAATATTTATTCTAACAAACTGCACAAACAATGTAATGTGCAATTTCTTCGTCCTACAAATATATAAAGTCAATTATTAAAATATGTAGATGTTATTTTCATAAAGTTGTCACTTTTTAAACTAAGTGTTGCGAGTTTTTCGACTAAGTATAAGGTGTATTTGGCAGCTGTTATGAATTTTCACCATCGGAAAGCTCTTTTTCGAGTAAGTTTAGGGCATATTTAGTTCTAACTCCCAACCTACAAGTCCAAATTACGTTCCGTCAGTTCTCACAAGTCCTATTTGTCATGGGGAAACTATCCGTATGAGCCACACGGTCGTTCGAGGGTTGTTTAGAATTTTCACCCCCGAAATGGCCTTTTTCGACTAAGTTTAGAGCGTATTGGGCTCTAACTCCCAACCTATGGGTCCGAATTACGTTATGTCAATTCTCACAAGTCCTATTTGTCATGGCGAAGCTATCCGTGTGAGCCACACTATTGTTCAGGGGCTGTTTTGAATTTTTGCCCCCGAAACGCCCTTATTCGATTAAGTTTAGGACGTATTCGGCTCTAACTCCCAACTTATGGGTTCAGATTACATTCTGTCAGTTGTCACAAGTCCTATTTGTCATGGGGGAATTGTCCATGTGAGCAACACGGTGGTTCGGGGGTTGTTTTGAATTTTTGCCCCCGAAATGCCCTTTTTCTACTAAGTTTAGGGCGTATTCGGCTCTAACTCCCTACTTGCGGGTCCGAATTACATTCGGTCAGTTCTCACAAGTCCTATTTGTCATGAGAAAATTGTCTATGTGAGTCACACAGCGGTTCGGGGGCTGTTATGAATTTTCATCCCCGAAACGCTCTTTTTCGACTAAGTTTAGGGCATATTCGGCTCTAACTCCCTCCTTACGGGTCCGAATTACATTCCGTTAGTTTTCACAAGTCCTATTTATCATGAGGAAACTGTCCGTGAGAACCACATGGTGGTTTGGGGGCTGTTATGGATTTTCACCCCCCCGAAAAAATCATTTTTCAACTAAGTTTAGGGCGTATTTGGCTCTAACTCCCAACCTATGGGTCCAGATTACATTAGAGCAAAATCAACTCACCAAAATCTTCATACCTAAAATGTAGAGTAGGGACAACACAAAATCAACTCTAACTGAACGTCTGTATTTTATGAACTTTTGTGCTTAAAAGAAGACTTTCAAAGTTTTCTTTGAATGATTGCTTTGGTCTGGTGTGTGCAAAGGAAGTGAAGCTAGATTCTACAGGTTAGATTCATCTTTTGATATTGTTATCCATGGTTCAACTGAAAATCTTTGTTATAGAAAAACAATTAAATATGATTCTCACTCTGGTTGAAAATGAAGAAAATTGGAGTGTAGATTTAAGGCGTTTTTTACTCTAACTCCCAACCTACGCGTGCTAATTACATCACGTCTGTCCCCACAGGTCCTATTTGTCATAAGGAACCTACCGGTGACATCAATAGAGTGGTTCGGGGGCTGTTTTATATTTTTGTCTCCAAACGGCTTTTTTCGACTAAGTTTAAGGCGTTTTTTACTCCAACTCCCAACCTGCGTGTGCTAATTACATCACGTCTGTCCCCACAGGTCCTATTTGTCATGAGAAAGCTACCAGTGACATCTATATAGTGGTTCGGGGTTGTTTTCCATTTTCGCCCCCTTATCATTGACCTAAGACTATTACACTCCCATAAATTTACTTAATTCTACATCTAGAATCTGACTTGAGATTGGTTTGATCACCACATCTATAACAGTTGAAATGATCAATTAAGTAAACGTACATGACGTGAGGATCACATGCATATTTTTCCTGTATGTGCAATACCGCACCATTGATAAAAACGTTGAACAAAAGTCCAAACACAGTTTTATAAGCTAGAAAATATCATTTCATCAACTCTAAGCACTATAAATGCAAATAGACTCAAACCTTGACGGCCAAAGTAATTTGTCCACAAATTTTTTTAGTAATTTCCAAATAATGTTTGACAACCAAGAGTAGAGTCACAAATTCATATAATTAATTTGATAAAAACATTCAAGTATTGAGAAAAATGAAGAAAATGAGGACATGTTTACCATGAGCACAAACCAGACAATTGAGAATTTGTAGGCATCCATTTCCATGTCCTTCATAAGTTTAATATCCTCTTGTATCCAAACAATTACAAAAGTTCCTAAAATATATCTTTGAACAAAAAAAAGAAAGATTATAAAACAAGAAATAGGTCTGTTGCCACACCTATGGCTGCATTGCCTAGGGCAACTTGGTCACAATTTCATTTCTTAGCAAAACAGTGACTAGGTGTAAGAGACCCTTGCTAAAATGGGGTGTAAGAAAAGAAAAATAGATCACAAAATAGATTGTTACCATAACTTGAACCCATGTTGCCACTAGGATGCCTTTACCTTAGGGCCAAACTGTCCTTTATATTTCTTTAGTGTTGATTAGGAAGAAAAAAAAAAGGTTTGGCCATTTGGCTAATTTAGCTGACAAAAGGGGGAAAATAAAAATTCACTCAACTTTATAGCTCACAAAAAAAAAAGAAGCAACTTTTTAACATTTGTCAAATGCATTCACTACAAGAAAAAGCAGAATTGGCGACTAAAAATAGAATTTTCGTCGTTGAAAGTAGCAGAATTAGTGACTAAAATGGAATTAGTAGCCAAAAGTCTCGACTAAAACAGTTTAGTAGCCAAATGTGTAGTTATCGGCGACTAAGAATCAGTTTAGTCGCCGATTATATGGGTTTT